GTAACAGGCGAATTATTTTATACTAATTCTACTACTAAAAATTGTTGTAGCAAATGTGAATTTTGAATTTGTTAGAAAACAAAGTTTCCATTGAGGTTTTAGCACTTTGCCTGCCTCCTTTGATCTAACAATTAAACGGATCAGGATTAACAAGAACGCGGTTAGCTCTCCCGGTGTTTCATAGTCGAGTTGCCATAATTCCACGTATCAGAACAGCAGTAGCACGGGCAGACCGCAGATTACAAACTTGCAAAACTTGATTGGCAGGGACCGTTCATTATTAGGTAATTCCGGGTAGCACCTGTGTCGGGCTATTAACCAAACTCTCGGTCAGTCGATCTGAGTTTTCGAAAAGGTGTGTGTTCGTAATTGAACCCGTTTAACGAAGACGTCGACGATAAGTGACGTGGACTGTTAAACGAGGGTGCAACCCTATCACAGAGATTCCTTGGAAGATTGCAGAATCATTAATTAATATTTTCAGTTGGAGGCACTAATGGAACAAGTTTGGAGAAGAACGTTTTGAGACGTATTTTATTATATATTAGGATTGATATAATTGGAATGCGTTTAAACTGTTTTAATTAATTGCAAATGCTTAATCGAATATAAAATTTAATTGCATAAAACTTGATAATTTTTAATTGGTTTCTCGCTTCAAGTAAGAAAATTCATTGATATTATACTTCAATTGCACTGCCAGTAGTTTACAATTAAAATAAAATACTTCATTGTGATTCTCTTTAACAAAAAGGAGCAGATAACAGGCTGCTCTAACGTAGCGTGGCTAACCCACCGAGGGTGGATGACAAGGGGTGCAGATATTAATATATCAGCCTAACTGACAGTGCAAACTGAGGGTGGACCATGGAGTCTTCTGCTTTCGTTTCAATACTTCTTATTTACTTAGTTTCTCTATTCCCGAGTTAAAGTTTCTTCTATGAATTCAATTACCAAGCAGTAAAAGTATTTAAAATTCCATCGTTTATGAGATCTTCAAACGCGGCATAAAAAATGATATAAAAAATGCATGTATTGATAATTGTAATCGCAGTGTACGGGAATCGATTTCCAATGACATTCCATCACGAAATTAGCTCGGGTGATGATATGACTCGACGCTCAAAGCCGACGATCGATCTCGCCGAGGGGATGCAACGCGCGCACCGACCCTCGGCAAATATTTACCCCGTAGAAAATGCACAAAGGGGTGAATCAGATCAGCGTCGTTTGTACCAACGAAACCGGGTTCTCGTGCCGTACCGTATCCGAAATGTACTTCAACGAGGCTTCTATTAAGATTCGATGTTCCCCTCGATCAAAAAAAAAAGTAGAATTCAAACGAATCCCCTAACGAATATTTTTTTTATATTAAATAATTAATGAACGTCCCTCTGTGCAACTTGGTTCCTCGTTAATTAAACGAGCACTCCATAAATAAATGACAATTAAACGTGCGATCGTGTTTCGTGTACGTTCAAAGAATCTCAGCAAATTAAATGAGATCTTATCGCGCATCGGGGCGGCCCAGAGAGGTAGCCGGCCAGTGACGAGTGGGTGTCGTCGATTTTTTGCTACGGGTGCACACAGTCCGTCCGACGAAAGCAAATCGACATAAATATTGATAACCGGGAACGAGTTAGGACACCGCGCGAGGGAAGAAGAAAGAGAAGAGGAGAAAGATAGCCCGTGAGTTCGTGACCGGAATAACGGAGCGGAGGACGGGGGGGAGACGACTCGTGCTCCGGTGAACGGAGCAGGAGCAAAAAGGTCCGAAAGCGATTCGAGCAACACTCCCGAGGCCGGCGCGGCACGGCGTCTCGAATTGGCCGCAGAAACCGCAGGCCTCGGCCGCGATATCCCCGAACCATCGCCTAGGCCTAGCGTCACCTCGAGGATCGAAACAGACCATGTCTCTGATCCAAATTACATTTAATATCACATTCAGAAAAGAGACCCGTTTCCCTTATGCGTTATAAAATTAATTTATTATCGCATAAATGAAGTATTTATCTTTTATAAGAAATCTCATCTATCGCATTAATCTATTTGCATCATTAGTATATCTACATGATCATAATTCATCATAATTATTTTTATCATTACACCGAGCGAATTAATACGAAGTATCGTTGATTTATTGATTTTATTGTAGACCCTTGAGAATTTTATTACTCGCCTATTTGTATTAATTATTATATAAATTATTTTATTAAGTATTATGTCAATCATTAAATGAAACAATATGACAATTATTATTTCTACTAATGTGACAGCCACTAGATGAAATATTGTATTAAACATTACAACAATTATTGAATGAAATATTATTTAAATTTGTATAAGCTTTGACATTAGCACAGAATAAAGGCTGAGGTGGAAATTAATATCCCCAACACAAAATTGACTTCATGAACTTGTACGATAGAATGGATTTTGATTTGAAACTGTTAACGAGACGAGAGGAAATTGCCTAGCATTGTAATTTCGATACTTAGCAAGGGACTGTTATGGACGGGAAGTATTCGAGTGCAGGAAGCACGTGTTGTTCGATTGAAGAATTTGGTTATGAAGCGTGTTTACCTTTGAGTGATGGCACCGTGTTTCGGTGCAATACGTTACATAGCATGTGGCACGCAGGTTTGCGTTCTACGCCTCTTCAGCGCTATGGTAAACACGCTTATGAATTTTCGGGCGGAACTTTGCTATGTACACGTGTTTCATCCGCGTTGGTAGTCAAAAATTTATGAAAAATGTTGTTTCAGCAGATCTTTTTATACAATCAAAAATTCATTAAATCTGCTCTATCGTTATCAATCTATGATTTATAGTATTGACTATTTAACATTTTTTGTGATTAATGAGTTGTATCTTGTACGCTTTCGATTCAATTTAAATTTTTAAACAGATGTCTAACTCGACTTTAAACTATGACTCACCTTACGAAACTGCACTCGAAAGTATGACGAATGAATTTATGTAACTTGCCTGGGGACGTTCTTCAAATTCAAAGATCCTGAAACATGAAATGCATGTTCCTTAGCAGGTTCAAATTAAAAGGGGAAATACCTAAATTTAAAATAATTCCGTTTACATTTACAATAAATCTACAATGTTTCATCGTTAGTAGTAAATCAACGAAACTCGACTTAGATTGCACCGATGTCTTATAAGGGTATGAGAGAAGAGTGCGCGAGTTTGCAGCGCGCGAATCGACGTTACATAATTTTTTCTTCGTAACCGAGGTGCAGCGTTTCGATGAGACTGCCCCGGCTAGAATTTATGTAACGACCACTTCAGGATTTGCACTGGGAATTTACGTAAGCCCGCGCACCGCGAAGCAACGGCGTGCCGGATTTACATCGAAATTCCGAAGGAAGAATTGCTGCCATGCGTGCAACGCGACCAACGAGTGCATTAACCGCGACGCGTTTAATCCTTTCACGACGGCTCGCTGCACTCTTTTTATTCGATAAACGGATTGATATCACAGATCGAAATTCAGTCGGATCATTTTCAATACAAATTCATTTCGAGGTTGTAACATTAATACACGTCAGTGAACTGGTACTGAACGAGGCGATATTTGAGGACTAAAACCGATGGTTATTCACTCAGAAAAATCATTTCGTTCAATCGCCACTATCTCTATAGTGTTCCAGTGGCTATTGACCATTGAATGCATTTTCAATTAAATAACGAATTTCTTTCTGTATCCAGATTCGATTTGGCATGAGAAACTATGAGAATTACATAGTGCTTATTGCAAAACGTGAATAGAGTTTCTTTAAGCTGAACCGTGTAATCTAACATGTTCATCATGCCTGTCAGCTATGCACCCCTATGCCGTTCTCCATGAAGTTCCTTAAAGAAAGACTTCTTAACAAAAGAGTGTGCGTATTGTAACGCAGCGGGAGTCCCGGTTCTCTGTCCTTGAACATCGTGTTCCAGCACTGCCATTTTGAAAAGAGCACGCCAGAGGCAAGTGGGAGGCCCATGGACGGGGCCGTGTGTCAGGGGAGCATCCAACATCTGCCGACAGGGTCGAGGGTGGCTCTGAACCGAGTCATCTGACCGCTCGGTTCGCGTACGCTGCAAATAAGCTCTTCCTCTTTTCGACCGGTATTACCATCCGTCCGTTTTTACTTTATTCCTCCGTTCGCATAGCGTTCGACGCTAGCTAAGTGACCCGCTGCTCGACAGAACCCGTCCCTACGTGTTTTCTTTCTATCTTCAAGTTCCGACGCGCCGGGGAATGGGGAAACGCAGAGGCGCCTTCGGGTGGAAGTTCGAATCGTGCAACAGCGACGGGTTTAAAACATTCGCGAAACGAGCAACGATCTGAAATCGTATTGCACGGACAATAACACGAATAATTATTCGACATTCGGTCACTTAAACGAGTGACTTCTCATAGATTTCAATATTTCACGTCGTTTCAAATATAAGCTCGCTCTTTCTGTTAGATTAAAGTTAAAATGGACACAGTTGTTAAAAAAAGAAGATAGAGAAAGTTGAACGGAGTTATTTCTGTCTCGTTAACTCTCTTGAAAGAAAGTCTGTTTCAAGAGCTAAATAGGTGTTCACTCAGAACATTCTTACTGTAGTTATCTTAGCGGTGACACGTTAAATAAATGACAGTATATTTTTAAAAAACATAAAATCTATTAACGCACATAAATGAAGGTAATTCTTGCTCTAACTCCTAAAAGGTTTCATTAATCAGAAATTAATCTCACATTATAGAACATACAACATTGTTGGATGACAAATTAACTTATCATTATTGATATAGTTAACTCTGGGACAAATACACTAAACCTATCTAACGAAAACATTCTTACTCATCTTGTCTTCGGTTCTTATCTGCTCATTCCTGTTACTACCCTGTTTTGGTCCTTGGGTCTCGATTACTCATACCCACTAGTTATGAGGACAACGAAAACAATGGGGCAGATTTTCGAAGTCCGTGCAGAGCCATATCGTTTAATCCTGAAATTTCAATTTAAGAGCTATTGCATTTAATTCCAAACGTGGAGTTCAACAACGTACTAATCATGCACGAGGTGTATTTATTCGTTTAAAAGTATGTCTCAAACGTATTATCACCAAATGTCCCTTTAAAGTCATGAAGTAATCGATTACTATTATTATACAACATAGAATGTATAACAAAATATGGACCTCTTCTACAAATTCTGACTAAACTAGAGTTTCTCTGAAAGTTTTAATGATGTTTCACGTTCGCTGCTGGATTCTAGCCGCCGCTAAACGGGGGTTGAGCTAATAAACTCCAGCCCCCGGGGCTCGCTCGCAGTGGGATGCCCGATTTTAGCCACTCGGTTCTCCCTCCGCCCGGATATAATTCGTGCACACGCGAACACGGGACGAAAGAAATCTACCGCGAATAACGGAGAAAAGATTTGTCTGTCCAACGATGATGAACATGTACCTCCATAGTCGAGCAACGAAAGAGGAACGGATGATGCACAGTGAACAGGGAAGAAATAGTACGGATAGTAAATTTTGCAGTGGATGGAAACGAAGGAAACGTAGAATCTGTGAGCCTGAACGCAGCCGGACGATAAACGCGATACGATAACCGGGAACAGTATGCACAAGTTGTATTGCGTCACGCCGACGGAAGTGGAACGGAATTTTTACAGCGGCGGCGATAGCGAAGGGTGTTCGCGCGTGCGAGCGTTCACCGAAACGCGCATTTTATATTCAAACGTCGTTTTCCCGGAGTTTACATTTTTAATTGGAGTCTTATACGTATTCGCAAGTCCAATTTGAATTTTGAGCGCAACCGCGAGATTGAATTTTAATCCATTCTTTAAATACCGCGGCTAGAACGAAGAAAAAGAGTCGAATTTAAATTGTAAATTCGCGGCTGATGTTCGACGATCGATACGAATTTTAAATCCGGACGCAAACATTTGGCCGCGGATGCAACGTAAGTTCGAAGATCGATGCTCGACGAATTTTTAATCCTGACGAAGTACGTTGGTAAACAACGATTCGGACGCGAAGCAATTTGCAACGGGGGAAGCGATCGCGTGTGGACAAACGAGAGGAGACGGCGAATTCTGAATTCCGTCGTCGCGCAGACGGCAATTAATATCTATCCCCGGTGAAAATTGCAGCTCCTTTGACGCGGTACGTCGCCGTCGTCGAATGCGTTCAACGGCAAACGCATCGGACAAACAACGGCTGACAAAGAGAAAGCTTAATTTGAATAGGACGTCGCACGTCGCGTCCCGTCGCCGCGACGAATAATATTGGTTCTTCGCGATCAAGAATAATTTCTGTTCGCATTCGTCTCGCCTGTCATTATTCCCGCCACGGCAATTTTCACTTCTGTCTTTGTTTTCACGTTTCTCGTGGAAACTCGGTTATGTTACGTTTCCCCTTTCTGTTTATACTCCACAGACCGTTAATTATTCTAGTTAATTATTTTTACTGGAACTTGAAGGGAAACGCAGTTAACAATTCTGTAGTAGAACGTTCTTAATTTACTGAATAAATGCTTTCAAAAGATATTTCTTCGTGTAGCAAAATTCGAAACCATTAAGAAAATGATTTGATAGATTGTATTAAAAAATAAGAGACCGAGTTTCACGTGATCATCTTATTTCAAATATTAATTTACTAGCTTCTAAAGTATATACAGACATTTTAAATCGCGAATTAGAAATATCCTCGGCAAATAAAAACGATAATAGTACGAATATGTATAATCCTTGCTTTATTCTTCCCGTTCACGATCATTGGATGCCCTATGAAAAAGCAGAAACCACCATGTGGTCAATTTCGCACAGGCCTTGCATTATTTCGAGGCTATGTGGGCGCGAGGCTAAATAATGGACGCGGCCATCCATCGAATCAAATCCAGATATCGACAACGTCCTAAAATATTCATAAGGTACGAAACTTCGTCTCTTTCCTTCGTAAGACTTAGTCATTATCCATAATCCTGATATCGGTGAATTACATAATTTTTCATAATTTATAAGTCTATGAATACTTATCACACTTGCTTTGTAATCAAAGATTTCACCCTTCAGAGATGTTATTATACATATAATTAATGTTAAACATGAATTTGTTTGCTAATTTATAGAGCAAACATTACTGTGCAGGAATAATTATGCATCATGAATTATTATAAACAGAGTAAGAACGCGTAAAAGGGAATGAGTACCTATTTTTAAATTCTCTTATCATTGTATCATCCACGTTTATGGAACTGTGAACTTCATTCATTATGTAGATTTGTTAATTGCACGGTTCAATTACTAGTTCCATTTTCGCTATGTTCTACACGGGGACAAAGGAAAGTTTTAATAATAAAAGTTCCGCTACGTCCCTTGGCACCTCGCTTCATCTTCAGTACAAAGTTTTTGATTAAATGGAATCTCACTGCGCAATAAGCTTGCAAGCAAATATTTTCGATAAAAGAATAAAATTATAACACTGTTCTTCCTTCTGAAATTGTCTCTCAATACCTTCTGTCGCTCGAAACATTCTGCATAATATAAAATGTTTTTTACTAAATAATAATTTTAAATTTTTGATAAAAATTGAACAAAATGAAAAATATATAATTATAAGAAGAAACAAAGTGTAGAAAATTAAATTAAATGTAGTTTAGAATCAAACTTGGAGACCTAAATCGAACCTTTTTATTGGACAGCTATATCAATCTTCAGCTTCCCTGCGATTTGAAACCCGCGAGACGTCATTCTCAGACACCTATTTCTCGCTTATTTCAGCGTTACCCTCGTTATGCTCTGCCCCTTTTGAAGAACGGTCGGATCGTATCCGAACTTGGACAAGTTTAATGTCTTGTCATTTTTCCGCTCGCGTTTACCGGTGTCCCGAAACCAGAAAACGAATTTCGCCGGTAGCGTTCGAGTGCTGCGACGGTGAAAATCGACCGCAACCGTTTGCCCGGAAACATTGAAACGCAAATTCCTCCGGGGAGTAAAAAGCATCCTTTCCGTTGAAAATTCA